CAACAATCTGTTGATGAGTGACTGAATTTATCTTCCCCCATAGTTGGGCGGCCTCATAGCGACCGTATGCTCACAGAACTGAACGTTTGAGTACGCTTCAGTGGCAGATCGATAGGATAGGATAGGCGTGGCTTTGGACAAGCAACAACCTGATCCGGTACACGTCGACAGTAGTTGCACGGACCTGAATTAACTGAATGGTGGACTGATGCCCTGGGTTTCTTTGCTCAATTGTCCCTCGTATTGCCCTTCCTACCTGTCAGCAATAGTCTTTTACCGGTTCTCACCCCAAAATGGAATGAAGAATTTCCAATTTAGTCAGTCTCATAACGGATTTCTCTTTGATCATCTACAGCGAGTGAGATAGTGAAATAGTTAAAGCACACGATCAACCTGTTGAAGTTGTGTGGAGAAGCTAACACACACTCAGGTTTGTATAGCACATCGTGAATCATATCGGTGGTAATCATTCAATAAAATACAGTTATCCGACACTCACAGACCTTATCTAATTAAATAATAATAATAATGTGAAAAGTTTAAATACTATTCAAACAATATTTGAGACAACCGCTGCACAACATGTTCTCTTTTGTACCAGAATCAATGTGTATTGGTCGCTTATTACTGCGCGTTTTCCAATGCTTTACTCATTCGATATCTTTCCAACAGCGGGTTCTGTAGATCAGAAAATGTATGGTAAGAATGAAGATTCGTGGTGAACGAAAACAAATTCTTATTATGAGTGCAAAACTGCGGAAGAATAAAATAAAATAAAAATAATAATAGTATATCTACTCCTGTCTTTCGTTGACAAGAATAAAAGAGCGAGTGTACGAATTCCAACTCATGAGGTAATTAACGACTGTTCACCAGTAGAATGTTAATCACGAGAAAAGAGGTCGCTGAAATTAAACGTCATCTGAATTGTACGGTAGCACATTTTACATTATCTCCAGCTAAAACTTCACGTACATTGTTAACTTTTTTCGGTTGTTACTTACGAGGAAATAAGTTGATCTGTGCATCTCGACAACACCATTGAGAGGATGTTCAAAGGGATGCTTTACATTGTTACTTTATTCAAGAGGCAAACTTTAACTTGTAACCAGATTCGATCCACGAGGTAAATGAACATGAATCCGCAAATGGAACCTTGATGTTTGGGTCGTCTATTGAATCCTGAACTTGCAAGCACCAATAGGCATCTCAACTACCGAAATTATGAAGCCTCGACTATACAACTTCCAGGTTAGTTCTGCAGTATGGACATGGATGGGCGGATGCCGTCGGCCCAAGGCGCCAAAAAATGTTAACTAGAGAAGTGTTCTGTGGCCACGCTGTCAGAAACTGTGCTTCCGTATGACATCATCAGGATGCTTATGTTCGATCAAAATCTTCAGGGCCTTGGAAGAAATACGTACAAAAAAGAGCATCCTAATAGTGATAATCTACGGGAACAGCAAAACGAATGGACAAATTCCACCGAGGAGCTGACGATGGAAGATTCACTTCGATTTGTGATGGGCACGCGTTAGCACATGTAGTTGGTCGCGTTTCATTGTGTTACAGTATCACCGAATCGTGATCAACTGTTGGTTCAAAGTGTTCCGCACTAATCAATAAAATTGAATCTAAAAATCGGTTGCATTACCACGTAAAATGTCTTATGCGCAAATACTTCACTCACATCTATAGAGTTTCTCTCTCTGAGATTAACAGAAGTGCGAACGAAGTCGTGTGTCATTGATCTCAGTGGATTCATTGTTCACAGAATTTATTATTGGTTACATCAACTGTTTTATTAAATTTGCCAATTAGATTCCGGACGACTATCCTCATCTTGATGTATCCTCGAGTCGTTTCCATCTATCCACAAACTCCTCCTTTCGGCGCCTACCCTCTCGTATTAACATTTATAAGAATTCCCCTGTACCCTACTTGGTCCGAATTCTAACTAATAAGGAACAGATGTTTAGTGAATTACGTCAGAATCTGTGTACACAAAACAAACTTCTGCGACATTCTTCACTTCGCATGTTATATGAGATTGTATATTTTATTTGGTTTGACGACCGGTGTACATTCCTAACTGGAATGTAAGCATATAAGTTTACACAAGTAATGCAAATGCAAATAAAAAGAATATATATCTCAAGTATGTGTGTGCTCACCTTTTAAAATTTATTCATATCAATCAGTGTTTCAATATCAGTGAAGTGAATATTAGTGGAGCAAGAGTATAGAGATAGTTTGAGTTCGTTAACTATTTCAGTGAGGTTGTCCGGTTTTACCAAATCTCCTCATAGATCTTATCTCAAGTTAGGAAAACGCTGAGTTGAATTGATTTTGATATCCTAGACAATCGACTTCTATTTAGGATTCATAATTTGAATGCTTAAGACCTGTTGAACTTAACCTGAACATGCCAACGCACTGAACAAAGTCTATTCGACATGCATTGCCATTATTTTCTGATTGGTCGGATAACTAAGGTCACAGGCCACTCAGTCATTGGTCTAAATCACCAACAACAGTTTTGACTGGTCCTATCAGCTGATCATTCCCCGTTGATTGGCTCAAAGATTTGTGTGCGTCTGCTGAGTGTGGGTTCAAGCAATGGTCGGTCAAGTATCAAATAGTCGCCCCACACAACACATTATTGGTGCATGGCGACGTTATTCTTGTCTAACTAGAGCACAAGTGCCAATTCGTCACCCTATTCATTTGATTGGTTCCATACAGGAGGAACGATGAAGATTGCTTCCTTGGTGGGATGTCATTCAGCATCCAACGGTTGGCGCGAAGCATAGAACCGTCACAGTTCATTGAAAAATCGGATACTTACTGTTCTGCATACGACTGTCGAAATTGTTCCTCTTCTATCGCATCTCATTCGGATCAGTGTGATTATTATTTCCCCGAGCGTCCCCGTCGTGCTCCATTACATCCTCTACAACAAAATTCGTCGAACGGAGACATCTGTGGCTCTTGGTATTATTTGTTTGGTCGGCCTTCATCATACAACCATCACATGTTGGCTCTGAATAAATTGCCCTCTGGAGTTCCGCGGAAAAACGATTCAGAGTCTTTAAGATCCTCGAATGGCGTTAATGATACCAATGATTCCGCTGTAGCGGACACTTCTAAACTTGATTCACCCGACAGTCACACAACCGCTCTATCTTTATTAGATACAGCAATGGAACAGGACACGAATGATGCCATTTTAAGGGTGAGTTTTTCGCTTTTGGTTGATCATTTCAAAAGGCTTGCCCTTAGTTTATTATGACTTTATTATGAAGACACCTTAAAAGCGACATGTTCTGAGCATAGTATACACTTGTAAGATTTATCATCAAAAGAGATTTGTGAATGCAATCCTCAACTGCCTGTGCGATGGAATTGCGCGCTCGGATTCCTATCGCATTGATCCCAGTGATGGGACATTGTCCGACGATGTACACAGATTAATGATCCATTGTGGCTGGAAATAGACAAGGAATTTTATAATTGCACCAAATTTCACCACCTTCGATTGCATTATATGATTCATAAAAGATTATCACAGACGGTTTAGAAACGGTGCTCGACAAGAAATTGCCTTTCGATATATCGCATCAGACGGTGCCATATATTAGGCGATCATGGTACACTTATCCGATTAGCTGATGATAGCTCAGATTATAACGAATGTGATAAGGCTAGCAGTAGTCAATGGTGGATTCGTGGAGGGAGTGAGAGGACAAAGGTAAAATGAAATAACAACAGAGAGATGAGCTGAGTAAACTGTTGACAAAAGATAAGTTAAGGTAAGAGAGGGGGATGAAGTTACTTAACATACATTAGAAATTATGTCATGTATAGCATGTGATGCAATCGGAAAGGGATAATGCAGACAAAAACTAACTGACTGTTATGATTGTGGTAGACACTATTGGGCAGTGACGGGTGTGGTGTGGACAGATGTTATTTTCCCAACACATTCAATCTGATGTCCAGATCAAGGTGGCAACAATATCTAGACAATGTTAATAACATGAGATCCGTGGATGGAACGGATCTCACTGAACAACTTTGGCGTCGTGCTCATGATTATTGAGGAAATTAGCTTGTCTTAGCTACGACGAATGAAAACCAAAACACAAAGGCGTTGGTGACAACGTTTCGATCCTCTTGAAAGGCCTTTTTCAAGTCGTTTTTTTACGACTTGTGTTTCGGTTTTCATTCGTCGTGGCTAAGACAAGCTAATTTCCTCAATATCTAGACAGTTTTCTTTGGCTTGCACTGTTCAGTATTAAAATCAGATATTTGTATTATATGATGTTTACATTACCGTGGGAAATGTGAATATTCCTTTATGAGAGGATGAGTATTTCATAATAAACCCGGAATCGAAAATTGGGTAGGGTTACAAACAAATTATATCATCCCAATATTCCTCCGAAACCATACAATTCCATCCTGCAATATCACCATTTCACTGCTACTGACAAGTCTTTGATTCACTGTACAGCTAGCTATTTCATTCTTGTGAGTTGCTCATATTCCCCGGACTTATGATGCCTCAGATTACGTACATGTGATAAAGCGGCTTTATTTTCTCTTAGCATATTACCTTTGCAGTTCGAACTTCATCATTGATCCGTGTACTACTGCGCTTTGGTAAGAAGAACGAACCCATTTGTTCACTTTTACCAATTTCCACTCCTCGCGAAAGTTATGCGGTACCTTATTGTATCTTTTCTCCAAATGACGCGGACTGTGTTCGTGGCCTATTGTGCTTTAGCCGTGAATCACTTTGTGTGTCACGCACGCCGGTTTGTGACAAGCAACCTCGTCTTTGTCCACGGCTTGCACCACCGGGAGGTCACTGGACTCTGGTTCACAAATGCACTTTAAACTGATGACTACAACATGATCTGTGTTGATTACGTCAATCTGACCAGTTAGAATGACCTTTAAATTTGCTATCCTGTGACCTCACATCTTAACCGAAAACTCGACTAAACCAAAGAAACCATGGTTGCCAATTTTCTTCCGAAAATTTGAAGACAACTGGTTCGTTTATCTTGATAGTAGACTTACGATATGATCATCGTTTCCCAGGGTTTAATGAGCGTTGTTTTCCCGGGTCTGCCCTCAAACACTGCGTGAGGAGGATGACAGTCCAGAGCGACTAAGCGTACGCATTCGGATTAAAGGTTGGGTTTATTCTGGTATCAAGGTCTGAACACAACGACGGAGGTTTGAGGGACGACGGTTGTCGCACTTGATTCTATCAACCCTTGTCCGTGTTTGGCGTACTTTCCCTGATCTATTTCTCCATCCACTTCCCAACTAATGAGAATCCGTTTGCATAGTACTCCATACGAGCATGTAATTATTATTTTAATTTTCGCTTGCTGGATTTTGCACAGTACGTAACGTATTTGGACTATGGTGAAGTTTGCTTGTCCCAGGGTTGGCACTATTATTGCCAGTTGAGAGGAATTTGTAACGTACTTTTTAACTAAAGACTCCTATGACTGCAATTGGAAAAGTAACGTGTGTTCGTCTTTCTGCTCATTATGGAGGTGAACCGCGTTATTTCTCTTGCCATTGGATTGGTATTTTAGGTTCCATATCTCTGTCTCATTCCATACACAGGTTTGAAAATCGAGTCTACGCCTCAGTGTACGATATCGAATCCCCAAATCATCCATATAACATTAATGTTGTCGGTTCGTTAGTTCAAGGAAACTCGAGCAATGCAAAGACCGACTTCTGAAAATGTCGTGATGCGGAGAAAGCAATTTCGCCTGTTTGCTGGTAAGCTCACAAAAGTGGAAGGGGCAAGTCTGCTGATAGTTGAGCTTGGGGACGGGGGAGGGTGAGCAAGCAGAAACAAATAATAACTCCACGCTCAGAGCGATCAAGAAGTATTCAACGGATCACTTGCTTGTTTGCAAGCTAGTCACTTACTGCCTTGACTTCTGTTCCCGATTTGTCGTGCAACCCTCCATGTCACCTGCTGATCTTCATTTTAGGCTGGCACATTCTACATAAAATCAGAGCATACATCCAGTGGTTCACCAGTCCGGGTCTCAGGGCTTAGGGTGTCGGTTCCCACGAGTGAACAATAGGTGACTATGGGGTTCGACCACTTCTCCCGATCATTACGGACTTGTGTAATAAAAAAGATACTCAAATAACATGTATCACATAGTCTATGCAACTTAATTTCTTTTAAAGTACTCCCAAACAGACAATAGTCTAGCCGAGTGTCTGCTCACTTGCTAAAGAAGCACCAACCTTTGAATAGACAGGTGTTTTCAGTGCTCCACAAAGGTAAATCAGGTCCGACCACGCACGACCTTTCAACTTTGGTGAAAGATTACTTGGACGCAGCGGGTGTTCCAGTCTGACCTAGAAAGTCCATGCTTTGGCTATGCCTGCGGTCACTGTTCACCTTATGATCCGCACTTATCGTACTGTTACGCAGTTAAGAGGATCTATTAAATACTCTTAATTTTGAACTGTCAAGCTTCAGAGTAGGATCCGTTGAAAGTGGGTGTTGCTGTTGCATTTTGCAAGCGTGTTAAGCGCATGTGGTCGACCTGCTTAGATAACGTTAGTTGGGGCGTGCGTTGTGCATACCACCAAATAAATTGCCACGGTGCGCGATGTTTGCCAAGGTAGGTAGTAGATGGAAAAAGTCAAGGTCAGTCAAACTAACACTTGACACGAGGATATGAGAACCCCAACCGGGAAACTCGGTCATGCGGATCGCGTTAGACTGCCCGGTTGGGGACCTCGAGATCATTGTAGGGCCTTATATGGTTTGCTACTCCAAGTTCCGTGGCTTAGGTTACCGGTTTCCATCATTGAACCGCAGGTCCTCGTGACTGAGGCTTTCCCATCTGCTATTCATGACACGAAGTGAGTGCAATAAAATAGAACTATATCTTTTATAAATTCATGTTCGCGAGAACACTCTCATCAGGCGTGATATAATGATTATGAAAACAGGTACAAGGAAAAGGAAAAATACTTCGAAATGTCATCTGACAAGCAGTCTCCGGCAATTGATGTATAGATAGGCTTTGATTGTTGTTCCTCTGGCCACTTGCAGTCTACCATCCGGATATTCTGGTAGGTGGTTCTTGGTTCTCAACTTCAATTTGATGTAGACTTCTCTCTGGTGGACGAAGTGAGTGTACGGTGATGAGCAGCCAGGCTCAGTACCACGCCTGTCCTAGCGGGGCCTTATGTGGCTTGCCAATCCAAGTCCTGAGGCTTAGGTTGCCGGTTTCCTTGACTGAACAGCAGGATCTCATGACTATGGGCTTTTCCTATGTTCGTTACCCAGTAATAGGTGTGTAACGAAAAAAGACGTACCGAGTTTCATGTGTGAACTAAATTTTGGATAGGTACATTGTTGATCTTCTCTTCATTAACCCAAACAGTTTTTGAGAGAGGCGTTGCAAAGGGAGATCGAGTCCATGGAGCGTAACAGCCGCAATCCAAGGTTTCACTAAACCGGTGCGCATGCCCAAACCAGTAACATGAGGATCTCTCCTTCATGAAGGAATTAACCCAGCACCCGACTGCGGTAATTTTGATCATCCACAGGAGCGGGATGATCCAATTTCTAAAAATTGTTTCGTCAATAGACTGGAAACTTTAAATCGCCCTCCGTGTTGATTCATTGCACGAATTCAATTGTACAAAGTTGCGAGACACGATATCTCCATACAAGGACATGTCTAATTTCTCGCTCAATGGCGAGCGATCACAGAGATAACAGATCTGTCTGATGTTTCCGTTTCTAATAATGCGTAGCTCGTTACTATATATTCTATACTTTTTTGTCTACCTCTCATCAAGAGGTTTTCTGATTGCGAAAATCAGAGGACTACCTGATTCTGCTAACGATTATGCGGAGCGAACTGCGTGCATTTCAAAATAGAGAACTAAGTACCACTGTAGATTGAAAAAGTGAACTATTACCTGTACTCCTTGTTACATGATCTCGTTCAGTTGGTTCCGAAGGCAAGATATGATGTAATCGATAAGATAGGAGACCAATGATGCTTCTTTTCCACCAAAAGAAAATTCACTCGCTTTCCATATGGAAGCTGGTATTTCGTGGGTTGGAAAGACATTCGCTTAAAAGGGGACTATCATCAGCGAAAATGGTAGCGAGTATTTTGACTTTATTGGAATTTTTTCCAGTATCGAAAATCAACTTCATTACTAACTGCCGGTTTTTCTTACGTACCGCGTTTTGTCAAGAAAAGTGTAGCGGTGATTTTTCCAAAAGAATTTCGTCTGTTTCAGAAGTACAGTTCCTCAATGTATAAATCCAGTGTTTATCTCTCGAAAATTTCATATTTTTACGACTGACTCATCAGTTTCTTTTCTTTCAGGCTGTATGGGCTTTTCCGATTTTGACCGTTTTGTCGTTTTGCGAGATCCATATAGAATTATTACTTTTGCGATTTTTATATCACTATTATTATTATTATTACTAATAATGATACTTCGTTTTCCTCAGTTTCTCATTCCTTATTCCGAGGAGGGGTATGGATTTACTCTGGCCGATGTGGAGCACAGTTCCGCAGATGGGTCGGAACTCCCTCGCCCAACAAGCACGCCTTCAGCGTCCCCGGAATCCGGGAACAGAACACGTGCATTTGACCATCATCCATCGAATATCTACATTCATGCGGTACGCAAGTCCTCTCCTGCGGATCAAGTAAATCTACCCGTCGGAGCTTACTTGGTTGAGATTGGCTGCGTACCCCTTGGTGTAAATACCACACTGAAAGAAGCTGTGAAACGTTTACGTCACGCGTCGAAACTTCGCACGGATAAATCCATGCCTTTGGGAGTCACTTTAACCAGAAGAATGAATGCATCGGGTAAGCTGCTTGTTCCTGTTCATGTTAAACACGGAAGCTTTTCTGTCAAACAAAATTACCCCTCACGCCCATGCTTGGTTATCGGCCGGAATTACTTCTCTTAAAGTGCGATTTACTAGGATTTTTTGTTTGTTTCCATGATTCCGATGAACTAGTGGTGTATTGTTTTTCCGTGATTGCATTCCTGCAGTTGAGGTTCTTATGATAAATGTTTACGAAAATTAGCCCTACAAAGACGAACTGAATAGTCTAGCGGTGAAAAGCTATAAATGAACCCATTTTCGATAGCATCCACGCGCAAATGAATGCGTATCACTAAGCATCTGAACCAGATCTCACTCCGGCGAGTTCATGCTGCAGATATGCATCATCTACCTTTATGGAAACAGTTTGCGAATCCTGGCCTCAGCGTCAGGTAACCGAGTCCAGTTTACGAGCCACTGAGGCAAGCAAATCGCACAAGGTGGGTATTTCTTGTTTATCTTGGTGCATTGTTGAGCCATTGTGTGGCTTCATTTGCGTTATCTGATCGTTAAACCAATAATGTGGTTGGATTCGGCATATCCGTTCACTAAAATGTTCGAAGAATGTCACGCTTCAAGAACTTCGCTCATCTATTTTGGTCGGGCTTGATGGACGATTCCATTTGATTCACCAGGGTGACCAGGGAAGGAGACAACCCAAAACCGGTCATGTCTTCTGACTACCAACCAATGTTTGCGAATTCCTTTTGACAAAGTTCTTCCAATTTGTCTGATTCAGCCCTTGCAACTTATTTTCCCTAAGTAAAGATACTTCTATCTTTTCTATCATCTCCTTTGGCTACAAGGGAATTTGCTTTAGACCTACGGTCGATCGATAGACCGCTTGAATTCTGCAATGTCCCAGTAGTTTTGCTGTGATTTCCGAATTATGCAGAATTGTTTCAGTCTTCGAAATTACATGTATTGCTTTCATTATTTGGGTCAGAGCTCACTTGTTCAGGCTGCAAGTGTTTCAGATACGAACACATAATTTGAACATGCTCCCTTCTTGGAGCGCTTCTGTTGTACGGTGTGCGTACATCATATATTAGTATGGCTAACAGTAGAAGAGTCGAGCTCTGTGATCATAAGATCCAATTGTTCGATTACAGGAGCTGCATAATAAAGCCAGCTCAACTATGGTGACCGTGACGATGAAACTCATTTTCATTATCCAATTCGCTGGCTTGATCTTTCTTTTCCTCCTCCCTCCCCTCTTTCCGCTATACAGTTCCACGACCTGTGACGAATGGTGGTTCCAAGAATGACGACTGTCTATCTGTGATTTCGTCCATTTCGGGCACTTCTCATGAACCCGTAAATTCAGCGCAAAAGTTAACATCTCTTGCTCAGAATGAAACTGACTTGATGAGCTCTCCACTGGCCACCTCATTCCGATCCTTTTCGGTTTCCGCTTCCTCGGTGGCGTGGTCCGGCTCGGCCACCTACCCATACTATGCCAGTTTGCACCGATCCAGTCCAGCCGGTGTGAATGGCAGTTCCGGTTTCCCTGCAGAAGTCACATCCCTACGCTCAGTGGGTTTGTCACAGCTCTCATCAGGCACGTGCGCCTTATTATGCGAAGAACGGTGCATTGATCCAGAAACTGAGTCATGTAACACTGACGGGGAGAACAGTTTGCAGCGACGTAAGCGTTTGCTCACACTGGCCCATCCGGTGTTGAATCTCCGTTGGTCCGAAGTCACGCCACAGGAGGCAAAACGACAATGGGCCATTGCCGTATTGCTCACTGAATTGGATCGTGTGGCCAACGATTTATTGGCTGGTGTAAGAGCTTATCGTTTAGGTTTAAGACGATCAGCCAGACTGACCAAAGAACAGTTGGAGTTGCTCTTCCGAAATATCACACAGGTATGTCTAGGTCGTTTCGAGCTATTACTGATTGGCTCTTGAGATACACTATTGCTGACAACTTATTACGATATCTTTCTTGTTTCTTTAGGTTGCATCTCAGGCGTGGCGTCTTGTACAACGCCTCAAAGGAAGCTGTTTAGCTTATGCCAATGTATCAAATGGACAACCGGCGTCGACTCCCGTCCGCTCACATTTTGGCACTATTGCTTCCAAACCTTCTGGCATTACTGTTTCTCAGACCATTCCAACTCCCAAGGAAACGCGGAAACCAAGTCTGTTCACAAGAATACGTAAGAGTATCGTGAACAATCAGCGTACCGCACAAAATGCGACAGTCCCCAGCATCACTCAGATAAATAAGGAGACCTCGGTTAATTTAGAGTTGTCTACCCCTAATACTATCACTCCTTTCACTCAACCGGAACCTGCACATTTCGATAAGGACGATTTACCGGTTCCTGATCAACAAACACGTCTCGACCCGCCTCCACACGGCCATTTAGACTGTCCGGGACGTATTGTGCACGGTTCGATTGGCACGTTGTTAACCGAGTATGCGGTGTATACACACGAGCATCTGACTCGAATGAAACAGGTGCGTGAATTCCGCCGTCATCATCCCGAGTTGCGATCGTTGCTACGAGTAAGTGTAATTGTGACTTGCTACTTACTGTACACCGTCTCTGTTTGACCCCTGGATATCCGCATTTAGTTAGATTCACACATCACCGATTCTTTCGTTTTGTTTTCATTTCAGGCTCATGCAATGTCCCCTGGTGTCCCATCGTTTACCAACTTCCTCGCCCTTCCGTTGGAGGTAAGTTTTCGCTCACAAAGTGCACATTTTGGACAAGGTGCATGTGGATTTTTCCTCAGGTTTTATCCCCACCTGAAGTCCTTAACGTTTGCCTGGATGAGATGATATTGTGAAACCAGGAGAGATAGAAGGGTTTGACTTTATTGAGCTAAAGCACCGTTTTTGTTTATGTATTCACCTTCTGACTGCAGAAACCGGACACCTGAAAGCTGGAAAGGCGAATCAGCTCTGACTTCCGGTAAAGTACGATTCGTATTGGTTTAATTTTAAACAAAACTGGCTGTCTATCATTGACTACCCAAATGGAACTCGTACAATTACTTTGAATGAGCATGAGACGTGAACATGTAGTATTAGCAGTTTGTTTCTGCCCTTCTGAAACACTTTGTAAAACTAGTGGTTCCTGAATCGAAAGCTGACAAACCTAATTGACTTGTTCTAGCGGTAAACAGGACAACAGGACGCATCTTGAACCACACGCATATTTTGATCAATGTCGGACAGGTCCGACCGGCACTTAGCGACACCCGCATTGGTTAATGATTTCCATCTGACTCAACACAATCTGTTGATGATCAGTGTACGAGTAGTCGGTTCACGGGTTATGATGATTTCTCAAATACAGCTTTCAGCATTTGGGACCTGTTGGTAACCAGCATTTATATTTTTCACTCCGCCATGTCAAGACTCACTCAATAAACGGAATTGCGCGCTCATCGAAAGGCATCGCCCACATTTGATTTTACGCTGCCGAATCATCTGGTTACACTTGCTTTCATGTGATTATATTTTGCGTCAGTTTTGGTGAACCATTTCGCGGAGACTTAGTGTTACGGGGTTCAAAGTGGCTATCCAGTTCCACTGGGCTTTCGCCGTTGGAGTGCTTCTCCAACGCTTGCCCGATCAAATTATACCTACAGACGGACGGATCACATGCTCGTCTGTGAAATGTGAACACAAGAGTATTCGTTGCACCATACGCTTAAAACCTTTTCGTCTCGATTATCTCGCCCCCTTTCACTTTTCAGCTTCTCCTTATTCTATTAATTCGGTTACAAAAGATTCAAGAGTATACCAGTGATCAGCACACGGACAGACCATTCTTGGACTCCAGTATTGCGAGTGAGTGTACACGCATGTCATACGTTGTTGTTCAATTATTTTCACACGCACACACACACACACCATGAGCACGAGGTTAAAATAATTTTCTCCGGAATTCAGATAACTCTCATTCGCGCGCACGCGGATCGAACTCGGGTGGCGGTGCACACTCATGCACACACACAGACACACAAGCATACTCGTGTGCGCGCCTTGACATAGTCACCTTTGACCGTTCTTTCTGACAGGTCACTCGTGATTTTGGCTTTACGGGCCTGACAATCTGCACTAGGAGTTGACCACACACTCGCACCCCACCGTACATATAAACGTTCGTTCAGTCACAGTAAAGCGCATACACGTGCATGCTCGTTTCTCGACGTCGCACTTAAGTGGCCGAGGCGCGCCATGTGCATACGTGATTGCATGCGGGTGGTGCTATTTGGTCATTTTCGTGCGGTCTGAATACCGAACACGTGATTCGATTCCAGTGAATGTTCTCCTCTTACGTTGGTCCAAACTGCATCTGTTCCAATCCAGACCTCGGTTTAGCGTTTTGTAACATGTTTATTAGAGGCTTGCACCAGATTTACGGTCATTTTTCCCCGATGCGTTTTCGTTAAACGTGAATCGCTCCTCCTAAGTTGTTTTCGCTGTTTGCCCGGTGATTTGTATTGCTATGGATTGGTTCGATCACAGATCAGTTCACTTTACCTTATCAGCCGTAGTGTTTTTCGCAGTGAGCATTGGACATGTTCTGCTACTGTTTAACCAACATCAAACGGTTCGAAAGAAATCTTCCTACTTCCATTAACAGCTGCAACACGCCTATGCTGCACGGAATTCAACCACTCAAGACTGTGGGGTAACCGGACGAACAATGCTAAGGTTAAACGTAGAGTTTTAGGCAGTCGCGGTCCTTCACTGGAACAAGTGATTGACCTCCATTGATTACGTTGGTTGGAGCATGTGTTACGCATGTCACCCAATAGGTTGCCACGGTGAGCGATGTTTGCCGAGGCAGGTAGCCGTTGGGAAAAGGTCAAGGGTGATCAAACGAAGATCTGGCATGAAAGTATGAAACTTGACTTGTTGATTTTGGTCATAAACAAAATGAGAAATTCGACGCAACGGTAACCTGCACACATGGTATATACACACAACCTATGAGCTTTAGGGAGGACCAAAACTAAACTTTGGCATCAGTCGACTGCGAAGTTGATTGGATGAACTGGGGTTTGTTCGTAGCGATGCATTTCGAAGTGTTCAGTCATTTTTCACGTGAATAGCATTCTCATAATTTCATTTACTCCATCTGCTGAAAAGATGAGTTGCAAAAGACAGAGGACAAAGACGAAATCACCATAGTACATGAACGGTTGTTCTATGAACAGAAAGTGTACTTAGATAACTGTCACTTAACGATGTATGCAATAGTTAAAAATCGAATGACAATAAAAAAATTTAGTTTTTCCCCAATGCAAAATTGTAACTTCTCACAGTTATGGTGAACTGGAAGACCTGAGGATTGTGTGCGAAGGATGAAATCTGATCAGTTCAAATCAATTCTGACTTGGCTATGATTTCCTATTCGGATTGCGTCCTCTTTTGATCTTCACGGATGCATCTGACTTCAGACTATATTGGTGTTCTCCTTCTCCTTTTCTCTATTCAGTGCTTCGGGAAGCTGTCTTGAGTCCGTCTACAACCGATGGTCCGGCAATGCTTCGGACACCACATGCGAGTCGCACTGGTACTTTACAAGAATCGTTCACTGGAACCGGCTCACACGAAGAAAATATTCGGTCTAATGAGCGAATCGGACCGGAACAGCAAGAATCTCCCAGCTCTCAACCGGACTCACAGGGAAACGTTTTACAGTCCCGAATAGATTGTGCTAATCGAGAACTGGTGCAATTATTCCGCTTGGTTCAACCGCCACTCCACGCTTCTGTCGAGTGTGAATTATCCAACGAACCTGAGGATTGGATCAATTCCGAACGTTATATTATATTCCGCGGTGCCATGAACTGCGTATTGAGCAACATCCCGTCTGCTCCCGGTCAAGGTACTTATTCATCCGCACATTTGTACACAGGCAAGGTGAGGAATTTCAGTGAATCATCAACTGTCGGTCAAATTTGAACATCAAACTTTTCGGTGTTTCCATGTTATCTGGGCTTTTGTTGCAATCTTCAGTGAAGAGCAACGATACTTTCTAACATAGTTTTGATACTGGGTATATATGGGCTTCACTGTTGTCCGGTTTACTAACATCTGCCGTACTGACACCTTATACTACTGGAATAACTCGTGTCCTAGGTCAACGGTTTCCTCAGCCGTCCTCGTAAGTGGGCTCATCATTTCCACCACTCACTATACTACGGTCTGTCATAAAGAAAACATTTCATTCCGTCCCAGACTTTCGATGAATAGATCAAAGATCACTCCAATTTAGCAAGGTCATTGAAACGATTCGTCTTAACAGAAACAAATGAGTCTGCTTCGATTGTTTGCCCGATTTCACTCCCTTGGATAACAGTCATTCAGGACTGACGTGTCACTTTATCTTTCATGAATTCAACACCGTAAACAGTAAGCATCGGCAATGTAAATTAATTTCTTAGGCCACATTTCTGTTATTTGGTGGTCTAAGTTGCCAATCAAACAGCTCGCAGTAGCTGAAAATGTCGGCTTTAGAGGATTCTTCCCGAGCTGAAAATGTTGTTTACAGACGGTTCCTAGTTAGATTAGGCAGCGTTATCAGTGTGACTTCAAGCTACAATCATTTAACACTATATCCGATGGTTTTCTGCCTTTTCTTGGATGATCCTAACTGACTTTGTGAAGCCCTTCGCCCCAAAACTGATCGGGAACCTGTGTTTCTTTCCATCCCCATCGACAGGTATTCGCCTATCTGCTGACTGATGCTCTGGTACTGGTTGCATCCGACACAGATGTGCTCGTATCCAACGAATCGAAACCGTTACTTTGCGAACCAGTTCTGCTCACTCTTGTTTGCAATCAGTCTTACGGCACGGGTATGTGCATGAATCATCTTACCGAAATACAGATTCTCTCGATCGTTTTTTTCCGTGCAGAATAACACCTGCTTCTTCATTGAGGAAGATCCGTTAGTTAAATATTAAGTCAAGAGAGCGTTTTCTGAATAGGCCACATTTGTGATAATTAAGTGAAAGTTGTGCATTCCAACCCCACCACCGTTACTCAAGTTTTCTCTTCCTCTTTTCTCCCCGAATGGCCTTCGAAGTTGTCGCTTTTGGCTTCCGAAATTTATTCCTATAACTATCTATTAGGTAAAAACAAGTAAAGAAATAAAATTATTATGACTAAGATTCACCGTTGGTATAACCCACGTTTTATCAAAATTCAATTGCAGGATGTATTGCTAATACGAAACGTGATCATTCGATTACAATCCAAAGAATGGATTGTATATGGTTTGCATTCTGATCACATAATTCGACTATGGCTTTCATGAGTGTTGTAATATTACTTTACCACATTACTACGTCATCCAGATCATGGAGAGTTAGTCCACCATCACGTTAAAAATGCCTGTCTTCTGAGCAGCTTTCGTTCCTTGTATTACCGTTCTTCTTCACGGTCAAATGATCTTCACCACTGTCACCCAGCTTGNCCACTGTCCCCCAGCTTGTCAGTTGTGTGTCTGAATCTCAACCCCCCCCCCCACCTCCCCTTACACACCGTCGCATCATCCCTGATGAAGTTTCACCTGGCACTACACCCATTCTGATATTGCTTACTTTAAATTAAGTAAAAAGCAACGAGATTTTGTTTTCCTCAGCCACATTGTCTCATTCCTTTTCACTGTTCCCGTCAGAACTTCATCTTACGATGGAAACAATTGGTGGTCTGCGTTTGCAACTGACATGTCCGACGGTCGAGGACAAGGTGGTTTGGAAAACTCTGATACAACAACGCATTGCTATGATTCAATAACCTGGTGATTTCAATCCGTTTTTACTTCTTCGCTGGTGATACGTCCACATATATTGATATATATACATCTTCCTATGTAAATAGTTGGAACAGACTTTCGTTACCAGATGTATCATATTTCTGGCCGCTACATTTCTTCTGTTTATTTCAATCTGATACGTGCAAGAATGGGCTTCATTTCTTCATACTGCTCTCCTAAGCACGATCAAGAGTGCACAAGTGGGATGGAACGGACTGGCATCCATTCCGGGGGGTTCGTCCGTGTTTTCTCTCTTGCTCCCCCCCCCGCCTATCGCCCAACTTTGTTCATACCTTGTACTCCAATCGTTTTGTTGCACTATCAACCCTGTATATTGCGACTCACACGTGTTGTCTTCTTCTGGATCCAAAACGGACAAACATAGAGTAAAGAAAAATCGATAAGTCCTCCTCTGGGCATGCCGTTTGATGGACGTTGTCCGCGTTTATTATTTATGAGGTGGAATGTACGTACGATCAATCGATCACAACCCAGTCAAAATCAGATGGTTTTGAAAAGAATATTTAAAGAAAAACAGATTCTGTTCATTGTGAAGTCATTCAACCAGGTTGGTTACTAAGTACCCGCGGAAACAACGGCGTTGGTATCAGTTTTAGGTCAGTCCTAAATCTTTTTCCGGTTAAGTTCTGTTGTAACAATCGAAAATTTCGCACCCTTATGCAGATTTTTTTGGCAACCCTTTTGGAAAAATGAGAAGATGGTTTCGATAAGTTGAAGCCTAAACAAACCAGCGGATTGCATAACGGAATATATGCACCAGTGCGACATGTTACCACATCACTAAGTGTCTCTAGTCATAAATGAGGCCACTACTGCTCGAGCCTACGTGAACGAAATGACGTATTGATTTGATCTCTGCCTTCTCGTCCGGTCATACCTTGACAACCGTTATTCCCTCTTTGGTCACTTTCCTCTTTGACCGGGAAATCTGCCCGAAGGAATGTACGATGTGGCCTTGTGTATCAAGTCTGAATACTCCTCAACCTCCAAGCATTGCATTTTAACCTGAATATTGCTGGTCCGAGTACCACCTCAGACACGTGTATTACTGTCAAAACTCATGTGCTCAAAAAGTGATGGTCTTTTATGTATTCTTGCTCAACGGTTTCATCTCGAACCCGGAAGGTGATGCAGACTAAACTGGTATAGCATACATACCCTGAGCCGTTTCACCGATAAAGGAAATTCGTTATGGCGCTACAGATGACCCACAAATGGGATGAGATCTCTGAGCATTGTGGTTACAGGGAGACATTTCGTTATTCGTTTCCCGAGTCTAAGTAACTGAACTTGTCTCTGTATCCTTCCACATGGAAGTGATCTAATCTCGATAAGTGCATCCTTGTATGAGTGACTTGAACAGTTTTCACCATTTGTCTGCCCATCAACCACATATGGATCAACTCTTCTGAAATCAGAAAAGACTACATCATACAGAGGTGAAGTGTCTTCACTAAAGTTAGCATTCCCATATTGAAAGATAATCGGATAAGTGGCGCAAACGGATCAAATTGCGAATTCTTCCTGTGTGTATTATTAGAAATCAAACAAGACGAGTAATTCATCCGCAATGGCGCTTTCCAACTATTCCCCTAAGGTCTAGCGAGAATGGTCGAGAGCTGCGGTACTGGTAGATACAACAATTGTGTAATCCTGTTTACGGACCACTAACTGCAAGCGTTGTTACATGGTTACATATTACTGATGTCCTGGGTTCGATCCTCAGGTGGATCGATAGATTCACACTGCTGATGAGACCAAAGCGGGTCGAAACAGGTGTCAAGCGCTTCCCAGATTCTCAGTTGCCCTGTTCTAGACAAAATGAAGCGCTGTGTTGATGTGTGTTGACATGAAAACGAACAATTGGAAAAAACTTAAAACATTCGGTCGTAGAAAGCCGTAATAGAGTAGGTACCGTTGCGGATAATGAATTTTTCCCATCCCTTAGAAAGGTACACTTGTCAAATTATTGGTAATGAGAGAGTGGCTATTTGCCCAATAGTAAAAATTAAATCTACTGCTTTTCCATTCATATGTGAGACGAATTTAGTAACAGGTAAGATTGTCGTAATCCCAATATACGCTGATTTTAGGACAGTGGGGAAACATTCAAACGAACCAGTTTATTGCTTCTTTGCCCTAGGACGTGTGATGAGCAAATCATGGTTCATCATTCTTTATGAGAAAAAATCAATCCTTTGTTTCACCGTGGAAAGAAATCATAATTTTCATGCCTGTACTCCTCAGTGTTTATTTAAATTCATGTAATGAGGGTTTCCCCGCAGTTCAATCATAGTGAGCACCCCACACGAACGATGTTTCTGGGCATATCGTCGATCAACATGGCCAAAATAAAGAGAGGCTATCTTCACCTTCCCAACTACGTCGTCTTTAGTAGTTCGATCATATCTTACATCGATCCGATACAGAGCACTAATATAGAAAGACCTATCAGCGATACCGTTCTCAGATTGGAAATGTCATCCCTGAGGCTCGGTTAAATACCGATTATTGAACTCAAATCGGACATGAATCACCTAGGTCTGCAGTGTGCGACTGGCTCAATAACTGTATTCCACGGTATGTTGACCTTTCCGCAGATCACAACTGCTATCAAAGGCATCCCAAAAGTCGACTTGTCCTCAGGCAGCAGATAATCGTATGAATTTCTCATTACGCCTACTACAGTGTCACCACTGTTGTCAAGTATTTTCAGCAGAAGCAGAAGGTAAACAAATTGATAGATAATACGAATACGAATAGAACAAACAGTACAAAATCCGTAAACAAAAATTTAATTTCGGAAATAGACATAAAATCCATTTGAGGTCGTTTTGTCGGTCCAAACTACAATGATTTAACCACTGACAGAGATGAACTCCCCCACCCCCTAAAAAAAACAACTAAAAGAGCATCACCCAACCAATGAAGTGAATTCCAGGCGAATGAATTTCTCTGTATCTCATTGAAATTTCGTTGTTATTCTTCGCTGATGTAAAGGCAAAAAAGAAAATCGGTCAATGTGGCTCACTGCTTTGTCTTCTGGTTAGCAATCGGGTAGGCTTAACTCCTCGCAAACAAATGACCATCGGTGCCCTTCAAAGTCAAAGTTTTATTATGGGAATAGCTTACAAGCTGGTGCTTCTCTTGTCCCATTAGGATGTTTACATAGACGATTCGTCACACATCAAAAAAGGAGTCATACAGGGATCCGGGTGGGAGATAGAGAATGTAGGCTACAGTGAATCCCGTTTGCCTTTAGTGTACGAATGTGAGGTGTGCCAAGATTTCATCGAGTCTCTGCTTGAAAGATTCAATAGTGGGTGCACAAACGACATGAGATGGAAGGGCATTCCAAGATTTGCATACTCTGACAGCAAAAGACTGGCGCCGGCAATCCAGTCGAGACTTTGGAATCAGTAGAGAAACGGTGTCCCTTTGGTGTACATGTTCGATAACATGAGAAGCGATCGACACGGATGGTTTGGGTTCTTCAGTATTTGATACGCGTTCAATAACATGAGAAGCGATCGACACGGATGGTTTGGGTTCTTCAGTATTTGATACGTCAAAATCAAGTCTCCTCGAGTTCGGCGATACTGAGCGGAATATAGTCCCAATGATCAGCGTGCTTCTTCCATGTGAGGTATTTTGATTGACCTTTGGCTTATCTCGGTACTGGATATAAACCAACCGCGGATCAATCAGTTGACCAAAAGCTTTCCCTTCATACCAATTATGTGATCCACCTCAAACAGCCTTCCTGATTTTGGCTTGTTCCCCGTGCTGGAAAACTGG